GGTCTCAAACTTGCAACAATCCCCCTGCCTCAGCCTCCTGAGTACTGGGATTACGGGCATGCGCCAACATGCCCGGCAGGTATTTTTGTGTGTTTAAGTGAATCACACTCTGTGAAATTCACACGATGTCAAAAATCACCTAAAGACTTAAGCAAGGTATGATTTTTTTCTATTAGATTTTTTTCTGAGACAGGGAGAATTCAGTACGGAGTCCAGACTGGCCTTGAATTTGTGGCAATGCTCCTGCCTCAGCCTCCCAAGTGCTGGGTAACAGCGTGCACCACCATGCCTGGCTAAGCAATGCACAACTGTACCTTCAACCACATAACAGTAACCAGATGACAATTTCTGAGACTGCTGAGATCGTTAAGCTCCAGGGACATGAAAATCAAGTAGGATGCCACCCGTCTCCCAGCAATACCTCCTGCAGCCCTGCCCGGGTTCAAGACAGCAGCTCACAGCCCCTCCACCCGCAGAGGGGTCCCCACCTGCCCCCCACATCCCCCTGCACGCCATCTGTCAGTCACAGGCCCCGGGGGCTTCGAGCTCTCTTGAACATCTGCGGCTCCCACTAACTGCAAAGCCTTTGCGGTCGAGGACTGGGTCTTGTCCTCTTGCTGGTCCCTGGCTCAAGCGCACATCACAAACAGACGGTTAGAAGGAGCGTGTGTCCTCCCAACTGCCCGCCTTCCCCCTCCCACTCTGTTGATACCAGCAATCCGCTGTGTCCCTGGCAACCGGCCCTCCGGCCCTGCGGATTGGTTGATGTCGTTGTTGGCACCGGGGACTGGGGCATGCGGTGCTGAGCTGCCTCTCAGTTCCACCCCAGCCAGGACTGTGCCCAGCTCAGTGCCCCTGGCGCTGGGAGGTGGCCGTGTGAGCCCTGAGCAGATGTCATGCTCCCAAGTGCCCCTGAAAGCACCTAGCAGGAAACCTCTGTCTTCCCTGGATCCCTGAGGGGAAGACATCGGGAAGAATCCAGTTATTAACACACTCGACTGTCGGCACGGACGCAGGAAGGAGAGGGTGTCTCCTAATGCTGTATCAGAGCCTAGAAGCGCAGGAGCCACCCACACCCAGCTCTGGGGACTTTTTCTACTACATAAATTCCCAGTGTTTTGCTTCGTTTGTTTGCTTTTGCTGAGAACCAGTTTGAATTGGACTTACGACACTCGGAAGGGATAGAATCCTGTCATTCATTTATTCAGTGATTCATTCAGCAGGAGTTTATTAGCCAGGCATGGGAAAAAGAACCTGAATCCCACCACTCAGGAGGCTGAGGCAGGAGGATTGTGAGTTCAAGGCCAGCCAGAACTACATATTGAGACAAACAAAAAACTCACAAGTGTTTATTTCCATAAAGTTCTTTTCTTGGCGGTGGCACCAGGAATCAAACTCAGGAAGTTGCGCTTGCCAGGCAGGCGCTTGTGCCTGAGTTTTTGTTTGTTTGTTTGTTTGTTTTGTCTTATTTTATGAAAGTTCTGTGGGAGGTCTGAGAAGGGGATGATTAGTGTGACTAAAAAACTGGAGAATAAGTTGAAGGGGAGAGGTGGTAGGCCGTGGTGGTGCACACCTGTAATCCTAGCACTCTGGAAGGCTGAGGCAGGAGGATCCCAAGTTCAAGCCCAGCTTAGGCAATTTAGAGACTTAGCAAGATCCTTCTAAGAAAACAAACGAACAAACAAAAACACATATGTAGCTCGAAGGCCCTATGTTCAATTCCTAGTACTGGGGAGAGGGACAGAAACAGGGAGGACATCCCCCACACGGGGACTGGCCAAGGCAAAGCCCCCAGGCCTGAAAGCATGTGGTTCTGCCCCAGCCTGCAGACTCCTTGAGGGGCACCAGGGCCAGGGCCAGGATGGGGCTCTCAGGGGGGCCTTGTGCATCACACGCAGGAGCCCAACCCTTTGGTTAAGGGAAGGCCTTTAATCTGCAGAGCTGGTTTTCTCTCAAAATTTTTTCAGGTGTCCCTTGACTTACACTAGGGTTGCATACAGATGAACTCACTGTAAACTGAAAATGCAGGGATACCTCGGTTCAGGAACACTTTTGCTTGTAAATAATTTGTTCACAATCAGAAGTGTTTGAGGGGCTGGGGATTTAGCTCAGCGGCACAGCGCCTGCCTGGCAAGCACAAGGTTGTGAGTTCAATTCCTGGTACCAGAAAAAAACAAACAAACAAAAAAAATCAGTAGCGTTTGGCAAAATTTGGTCTTGGTTTGTGAACTCTGTATAGGTTGACGAAAATAACCACGGCCACTGCTCCGCATGAACACAAACACAGCCATGGACACCTTTTCCAGAATGGCGGAACAAATTAAGTTCATGGACCAAGGTAACACTGCATTGCAAGCTGAAACTCAGCTGGGTTTGGCAGTGTGTCTAGGATCCTAGTACTCATGCTGAGGCAGGAGGATCTTGAGTTTGAGGTCAGCCTAAGCAACTTAGGAAGACCTTGATCAAAATTTTTTTTCAAAATTTTATTTGAATTTAATTTTATTGAGATGGGGGTCTCACTATGTAGCCCAGGCTGGCCTTGAACTTCTTTGTTTTGGTACTGGGAATCGAACTCAGAACCTTGCACTTGCCAGGCAGGCACTGTGGCGCTGAGCTATATCCCTGGCGCTGGCCTTAAACTTGCAGTGATTCTCCTGCCTCAGCCTCCTGAATGCTAGGCTTCAAACTTTTAAAAAGGAGCCAGGGATATATTTCAATACAAAGACCCTGGGTTCAGTCCCCAGTACCGTTTAAAAAAAATACATCTAACTCAGTGGACGTCATCGCTTAGCTTAGCCCACCTTAGATTATTTGCATTAGCAAAGAGAATAAAAAGAATATTTGTACAAACGCACAAGTGGCCCAATCACACCTATCTTATTATAGGGTGCACATCCTGGGTGGCTCTCAGCATCTGCCGTTGCCCTGGTGACTGTGCAGCAGGGCATCATGGGAGCACCACACCGTGGACTCCAAGCCTGCAGGAGTCCACAGCTCAGGCTCAGGCTCCCCCGGAGTGTGCGGCCCTCACACTGTCAGAAAGCTGAATAGGGCTGGGCGTGGTGGCGCATGCCTGTCATCCCAGCTCGGGAGGCTGAGGCAGGAGGATTGCTGTGAGTTCGAGACCAGCTGGGGCCACAAAATGAGCTCAAGGCCAGCCTGAACTGCACAGCGAGACCCTGTCTCAAAAAGACAAAACAAACAAACAAACAAACAAAAAAAAAACTGAACAACCACAGACGGAGCCGCTGGAAGTCAGGGATGGTGCACTTCTCCGTGAGCCCACAGCAGTCACGGCCAATGGGCTGAAGCCCGGACGGAGCGCGACCTGACCCCTGGCCGCCGGGGACACGCGGCCCGGGGACGGAGACACTCGCCCCGCGGCTCCTGCAGGCCAATTCCCGGCTGGACGCCCTCCCCGGGACTCGGGACCCTGGACTCTCGGGACCGGCCCCTGGGCTGTGCAGCGGCTGCCGGGGGACACGAGTGGCTCTGGAGGACTCCAGTCCGAGGTGCTGCCCCATGCACGGCGAGCTTGTCGGGGCCACGCCGCCTCGGGTGACCCCGAAACAGGCGGGGAGCCGTGCAGACGCGACGCTGAGTCCCCCCGCCCGGAGTCCCGCTCCCTGCGCCGGCGCCCCTCCCCGCCTGGGACTGCGGCGGCAGGGGAGCGGGCATCCGGAAGGCCAACATCCTGACCTCCGGGGCTAAGAACGTAACCCGGCCAGGCTGTCTGCCTTCGAATCCCACTCTGCCCCTCCCCAACGTTGTGGCCTGAGACAAGGTCTCTGGGTTTTGAGACAGGGTCTCACTAGGTAGCCCAGGCTGGCCTTGCGATCACTGGGTAGTCCTGGCGGGCCTCGAGCTCTCGGCTATCCTCCTGCCTCAGCCTCCATAGGGCTGGGATGACAGGCGTGGGCCACACCTGGTGTGCAACCCAGGCGCGTTTATAACCCGGCTGTGCTCCCCTCACCCGCTCCTCGGCTCCCAGGACCCCCGTGGCTCCTGCGCACCCACCTTCGGAGAAGACAAGTGACGCGCACCCTTTTAGAAAAGCAGGTTTATTGGTCGGGCTACCACAGGCCCAGCAACAGGGGGGCTGCTTGTGCCGCAGCTCAGGCCCCTTCCGCCCCCAAGCACCAGGGACGCAGTCCCGCGCCCCGCCTGCCCCAGCTCGGCGCTCCCCCCACTCAGGGGCGAGAAGGAAGCCAAGAAAAAGGAAGAACAGAACAAAACAACAAAGCAAGCTCCGTGTGTATAAAAGGCTCGATTCCCCTGCGCCCTCCCTCCCCCCAGCAGTCAGCTGCGGCCCTAAGAGACCAGGGGGCACGGGGCGGGGGCGCCAGGGCCTCCCTGGGGGTCCCGCCTCCCACAGGCCTCCGCGGCTGGGATCGAGGGGCTGAGTGTGTGGCCTGCGGGCGCCCCAGCTTTCGGAAAGGCGCCAGGGCCAGGGCCAGACCCGAGTCCGGGCCAGAGCGACTCCCTCACCCGGGCCGGCCCCTGCGCCGCCTCCCTCCCGCTCCTCCCCCTCCCTCCCCTGGGCTGTGCAGCGGCTGCCGGGGGACACGAGTGGCTCTGGAGGACTCCAGTCCGAGGTGCTGCCTCTAGGCCCTGGGCTCCGGGCTGGGATCCCCGCTGAGGCGCGCCCCTCTCCGCCTAGGTCACCCCTTTCTCACAGTCCTCCCTGCCCCCGAAACACCGCTGTCCCGAGAACCCCGACGGCGGGGCTCCTTCCTAAGCCCCTCACTCCTGTCCTCACCCATCGCACCTTCTCTGCCCCTGCCCGCCCTCCACGGCTGTGCCAGCGCACGCGGTGTCCCCTCCCCTCGGCCCCTACCTGGGCCCAGGGCCCCAGAGACCCTCGGCCTTGGGGACAGGAAGGAGGCCGAGGGCACAGCCGGGACCAGGACCACTACCTTCCCCACTCCACCCAAGATGCGCCCCCACAGGGGCTGCCTTTGTCTTCCTTTCTTATTTTTTGGCGCGGCACGGGAGAGTGAACCCAGGGCCTTCCCACTGCGCTCCATCCCCAGCCCTTTTCATTTTGTATTTTGTGACAGGGCCTCACTAAGTCACTACGTAGCCCAGGCTGCGCTGGAACTCGGCGACCCTCCTGCCTCAGCCTCCCAGGGGAGGTGTTTAGACACATCTCAGCCAGGCCAGGGCGGGCAGAGAAAGACAGAGCGAGAGAATGCGACAGAGCAAGCGGGCAAGGGACAGCAGGGAGGGCTCAGTCGCTGTCGCTCCTGTCCACCAGCACGGCGTCCGACTCCTCGGTGATCTCCAGCAGCGCGTGCATGTCGGGGCTGCTGGCGCGCAGCAGGTCGCCGGCGTCACTGCGCTCGGGCCCGGGCTCATCCTCGTCGGCGCCCACCGGCACCATCTCGGTGGCACGTGGAGGCTCGGCCGCACCCTCGCGGATCTTCTTGACATGGAAGGTGAAGGGCGGCACCTTGTAGACAGCGGTCTTGGAGCGCGCGTACACCACGTGGTCGGGAGTGAAGGACTTGCGCAGCTTCTCGCGAGAGGACCGCAGCTTCTCACGGCGCTCCGCTGGCACGAGGCGCGCGCCCAGCGTGGTCACGCGCCGCTCCAGCGAGTGCCGCGTCTTCTCCAGGTTCTCACGGGTGCGCACGCGCGTCTTCTCCAGGTTCTCCTTGGTGCGCAGGCGCGTGCGCTCCATCTTCTCGCGTGAGAAGGCCTTGCGCAGGTCGTCCACGCGCCGCATCCCGCTGCGCCGGATGCGCTCGGCGCGCGACTCCTCGATCACCTCCTCCACCTCCACCGCCTCGTCCGACGACAGCTCGGGCGCCGCCGCGTCCTCCTCGTCCTCAGGCCGCGCGCCCTCGCCTGCGTCCTCGCCCTCGCGCTCGGGCAGCGCTTCCGCCTCCTTGAGCGACTTGCTCACGCTCAGCTTGGCCGGCAGCTTCACCTCGTCCTGCGGGGAGAGAGGGCACAGGGGGTGAGACGGGTGCCCGAAAGCAGCCGCACCTGCGCGCCGGAGACTGAACCCAGGGCCTCTGCACGGAGCTGCATCCCCCGTGTCGTCATCACTTGCACAGGCTGGACCGGAACTTGTGACCCTCCTGCCTCGGCCTCCCACGCGTGCGGCCTCCCAGCGCGTGGTCCCCGGCGGACAGCGCGCGGAGGGGCGGAGCGGCGGGCGGGAGCCCGGACCGCAGGGCCACTGAGCCTGGGCCTAGTCTCGCGCCCCGCAAGCCCATCCCTGCGCTCCGCCGCCGGCCCCCCCTCGGATGGTGGCCTCGACGGACTCGGTCTAACTTCAGCGGTGGAGGAGCGCCCTCTGGTGCCCAGATCGCACGCTGCCCAAGCCGGGCCAAAGGCGAGTCGGGTCTGGGTTGAGGGGTAAGGATCTCACGGGCTCGGGGTTCCCCGCGCAGGGTGACTTGCAGGGAAAGGGGCGCTTCCCAGACTCGATCGTCCCGGAACCCCAACCTCGACCTCCTCGCCATGGCCCCAGCCGGACCCGGCCCCCCACGGAGGAAGGAGGGCGCCGCCCGGGCTCCTTCCCGGCTCTCCTCCAGCTCCCAGGCCTGGGCCAGGGTGGCCCTGGGCTGCAGAGCCAGCCGCTGCGTTGCCCCCTTCCCCCGAGGACCCAGCACCATCCCCGTTTTCTATCCCAGGGTCAACATTGGGCATCGCAGGACCCTGCCACCGCACCCCTCCACCCCTCCCCCAAAAAAAGGCACTCTACGCAGAGGGAGCAGAGGTCTGACTCCGAACAAGGGGAGGACTCTGTGGAGGCTGAGGCAGGAGAATCACGAGTTCAAGCCCAGCCTGGGCACTGCAGAAGAAAGGAGACAGTAGGGTTTTTTTTCCGCCTTTTTAAGACAGGGTTTCACTATGCAGTTCAGGCTGGCCTTGAACTCACCTTGTAGCCCAGGCTGGCTTCAAACTCCTGGTGATCCTTCTGCCTCAGCCTCCTGAGTGCTGGAGTATAGGCCTTTGTGACCACGCCCAGTAAGAGAGTAGGTTTTCTGAAGATCATTTCCCAGAATTGTAAGAAAACCCCATCTCCGGGGCTGGAGATTTAGCTCAGCGGCATGGCGCCTGCCCGGCAAGCACGAGGTCGTAAGTTCGATTCCCGGTACCAACAAGAACAAAAATGAAAACCCCATCTCCTGAGGAAATAGAGCAGCTCGAACTCATTTCACACGCGTGCATGCACACACGTACACACACCCCATACCCAGGCTACTCTGCACACCTGCTGTAGAAATCGTGTTCCCACCCCATCCATCTCTTCCTTTTCCTCCCACTCACATCCCTCAGGGTTTCCTGGTTTACATTGGGAGCTGGGAACACCTCCTCCTCCTGACTTCCTTCCCTCCCTGTCAACAGCATTAGCAGAGACAAAGGGGCCCTGCCCCCCACTTACTGGGCCTGCAGGGCGCCGACCGCCCGAGTAGCCAGGACTACACCTCCCAGCATCCCCTGGGACCGGGGCACAAGGCATGCTGGGACTTGTAGTCTCCACCTGCCACAGAAGGCTGAGGCTGTCGGGTGTGAACAATGGGTTCTTCCCTTTGCCTCTTATTCCCTGAGGCTCTGCCAGTGTTGCCCTGGCGGGAAGTGGGGAGGGCCAGCTTCTCCGAGTTTCATCTGATGGTAGGTGCGCCCTTGGGTGACCTCCAGGCACCCTTGCCTGCCTGCCGCTGACACCATCGGTACTTCGGCGTCATGTTTGGGCTCTGGGACCGAGCTCTGCTCACCCATCGCCACCAGAGTTCACCTGTAGCCCAGCATCACATTTTCCTTTCTGGCCGGGCGTGGTGGTGCATCCCAGCACTCGGCGGGGCTGAGGCAGGAGGCTGTCTGACCAGCCTGTATACCAAGGCCGTGTCCCCCAGAACAGTTTAATTTCTGACCTCGATTTCACAGCCTCGAACCTAAAGCCTGTCACTTCACACCGAAGGGGTGAGCCCGCCTCTCGCCGGGCTCCCGCCTGGAGGGTACAGCGACGGGGACACTCTGGAAGCGTCCCAGCTGCTGGACACAAAGCCATTGTCTCTGGCCCCACCCAGCGCCCGGAGCCTCTCAGGCAGAGCTGGCTGGGTTTCCTGGCCTCCCTCCGCTGAGCCAAGAGGCTGCAGGATGGGGTCCCCTGGGCGCGGCTTCCCTCAGCAGCAGCTGGGCCTGAGCCCCGGCCCGACCCCCCTCTGTGAAGGGCTCTCCCTCCCCTCCCGTGGCTGCCCGTGACTCACAGCTCAGGAGCGCCCGCAGCCCACCCGGGCTGCCCGTTGCCAAACAGCTGCTCCCGCGCCCCAGGGTGGACACGGCCGCGCACCTTCGTGTCCCCCTCCCAGCTTCCCTGGCACGGCGCATGAACCCCTGCAGGACACGGGGTCGGGGGAGAGGCCCGGCCTGTTCTGTCCCTCTGGCTTCCACTCAACAAAACCACCACACCCAGCGGCCTGGGTTTTCAGTTGCCTTTAATGACCACGTCTGAACGAGAGTTACACAGCTCCCCAACACCAGCCAAGCACCCAGGGAGCCCCCCTTTCCATCCCAACCCTGAGCTTAGGAAACTGATACAAGATTACAGTGTATGGGAGGCTGAGGCAGGAAAATCACAAGTTCCAGCCTAGCCTGGGGAAGTTTAGTGAATTAGTGAGAACTTGTCTCAAAATAAAAAATAAAGGGCTGAGGACAGAGCTCAGTGCAAAAGTCAGGGGGTTCAATGTCCAGTACTATAAAATAATAATTTTTTAAAAATAATTTAAGTGAGCATCTACTATGTGCCTGGCTCTTCTCACACACTTCGTATGTCAGGGACATGGGACGAGGGCCAGGCTTCAGGTTGGGGCCTCTCTTGACCTGGTGCTGTCCCCAACCACTGCTGGGGACTCGCTGGACAGGCAGTGTGGAGGCCCTAGAGGTGCATGGAGTCTGTGGGGCAGAGGAGCAAGGAAGGGACCTGTCCCTTAGATTGCCAACTAAGAGAAACGGACATAAGAGGCTCCACCGGTAGTGGACTCTGTGGGACTCGGAGCTATCACAGTGGCTTGTGTCGTTCCAAAGAGCACTCTGAGAGGCTGAGGCAGGAGAATCTCAATTTGGAGCTCTGCCTGGCCAATTCAGCAGCTAGGCAAGACTCTTGTCTCAAAAATTAAAACGGCCAGGATTACAGCCCAGCACCGTGGCCCTGGGCTCGACCCCAACACCTCCACAGTAGCGGGTGGGGCACAGTGGGAAGCCCTGCTCGGAGAGGCAGCGGGCTTGGGCCAGTGCCAGCTCCAGGTCCCCTTCTGGCCTCCGCGCTGGCAGCGGCAAGGGCCCCGCCCAGGGCCGGATCCGGCAAACACAGGGATCTCTGCAAAACGGTTTCCAAAGAAACTGGAAGAAACAAGGGTAAATGTTTTCCTTGGCTCCAGGGAGTGGGTGGAGAGGACGCACAGGGCTGGGCCGAGACCTCCTGGGGACCCCTCAGCTCGCCAAGGAGCTGGTGGTGGGGCAGGATGGGGGGCGGGGGCTCAGGAATCTCACAGGGCGCTCCTGGGCCAGCTCAAGTCTGCGGCCTAGGCAGCTGCTTTTAAACCAGAACTAAGGGCCGGGAAGCAGCCCCCTGCGGGGCCTAGCATGCAGGAGGATACAGCAAATCAGACACCCCAAAACCAAGCCGCCCCGCCACACACACCAGGAGCAGCAAGCGGCCCCAGGGGACCCTAAACACTCCCCAGCTCGGGGTAATAGGGCAGCGTCCTGGGCAGCTGCTCGAAGGCTGGGCGCTCAGGCACTGGCTCCGGGTCAAAGGGCTCGGTCTCAGGCAGGAGGTCAAAGGGCACGGTCTTGGGCGAGGCCGGGTCACAGGGAGCCTTGGGCTTCTTCTGGGGCTAAGATAGGAAAAGGGATTTTAGCAGGGCCAGGATGGGCGCGGGCGACCGGTAGAAGCAGGCCTCTGCGGCCTGCGGGGTTGGGCAGAGGCAGGGTGGGGACGCTGGATCAGGGTGGCAAGGACCCACACTGGAAACGCTGCACGCAAAGGGCCCTGGGGACAGAGGAGGCGGAAGATTAACAAGCACAGCCTCCCAGCTGCCCCAGGGACCCCACACCCACCTCTGGTGCCCCTGTGATCCCCACCAGGCCAGCTCGCTGGGGACCCGAGGACCCGGAGTCAGACAGGCTCCGAGGGGAAAGGGGCGCACGCATCTGTCTGGTGCTTCTGTTGTCCCCAGGGCAGGGTGCGCACCACGCTGCCCCGGATTAGGACGGAGCTGGCAGGGAACGAGGACGTCCGGGCGGCTTCCCTTTGGCCGCATCCCCATCTCCTGTCCCCAGCTCCACCCAGGCTCAGATCTCAGACTCTGAAGGGCACGGAGAACTGGGCTGCGTCTCTGGCAGGCAGCCGGGGGGCCCCCAGTTCGCCCTCATGAGGAGAGGGGCAGAGGGCCAGCAGAGCAGACAACAGCCATGACCTAAGCCCCTCGCTGTCACCAACCCAGGGCAGGGAGTCGGCCACCCCACAGGCACAGGCAGGGGCTCCAAAACGGCCCTCTCGCCGGGTGTGGTGGTGCTCGCCTGTGATCCTGGCACTCAGGAGGCTGAGGCAGGAGGATGAGTGCAAGGCCAGCCTGAATTACATATCGAGACCCCATCTCAAAAAACAAAACCAAGTAACGGCCCTCTCCCAGGCTACACCGAGTCCAAGCCCCGGGACAATCCTTGCACCCCACACTTGTCCTGCCTGTCCCTGACCAGGGGACCACACACCCCCCGACGAAATCACACATGAGGTTGCGCAGCCATTGCCACCACGGTTGGCCACTTGTAGCCAGCACTGTGCATGTGGGCACATGCGTGCCTGCGCGCGCACACACGTGCACAGCGACCCTCCTGCCGGAGGAGGGAGGAGCCAGGGTCTGGCCCACTCTCCCCACCCCTGCAGGGCCCAGGCACGGGGTGTGGGACAGGGACCCCAGCCCCTCGAGGGACTGTCGTCAAGGGCCAGCTCCTCTTTGCACCCGTGCCCTGGGCCATGCGGTGCAGGAGATGCAGCCGGCGACGTTGAGGGACTCTGAACAGAGGCGGGAAGGGCACGAAGCAAACACTCACATCCCTCGGCACCAGGCAGGCTCATCGCAGCGGGGGCGTTTGGCGGTCACTGCCCGCCCCTCACGCGCCCCGTGCCACCGCCCCTCCTCTCGCCTCTGCCCTTTGCCAGAGTTACACTACGCTTAAACACAAAGCCAGTGGAGTAGCAGGCACTTATAACCCACACGCTGGGAGGCTGAGGCAGGAAGAGTATGCTCGTGGAACCCAGCCTGGGCAACTTAGCAGTGCAGCAAAGCTCTATCTCAGAGATGACAAAATAAAAAGGTGCTGGGTTCAACCCCGGCTACTAAAAAGAGAAGAGAGAAGGGGACAGGCAGCCATCAACATTCCTGTTAGTCTTGGGAACACCCCTTCCGCTGTCGGCTCGGTGACGAAGAAAAGCCAGGCACACGCAGCCCTTTAGAGGGAGGTGTGCAGGCATCGTCTCCCCAGCCGCTAGGTCTAGGGGCGCCAGGACCAGAGCCCACGCTGGGAGGACCTGCGGGCGAGGGCTGGAGAGCGCGCTGATCTGCCGAGAAGGTGCTAAAGGCTGCACCAGGGTTGGGGGAGAAGCCAGCAAGCCCTTGGCAGCCTCTTCAGTGCCCACGGCCCCTACTCCGCCCACGGCTCCCTGTCCTGTCGCCAGGAGCTCGGGGCAGGGCTGATGGGGCTCAGCTGCTGGTCACCAGCTCTGCCTCGTCAGAACTGCTCCAGACAGCACTGGGGTGGAAGCCTGCGATCCCAGCACTCGGGGAGGCTGAGGCAGGTGGATGGCACGTTCAAGCCCAGCCTGTGTCATTTAGCTCCTGAGCAAGACCCTGTCTCGACATAAAGAAGGGACGGGGATGTCGCTCAGTGTGAAGGCCCTGAGTTCAATCCCGGGTGCTGGAAAAACGAACATCAAACCCCAGCTATTGCAGAAAGCATTTATTTCCCCCTTTCTGGGCTCTGAAATAACTAAAGTAACCAGAAATACCCTGGAGTTCTCCCGGGAGACTCAGCCGGGCTGCAGTCCTGGCCCCCGGGTGGCCACTCCTGTTCCCCGAAGGACGGGACCGAGACTCGCTTCCCTCCACTGGGGCCACCTGCCCAGGGGCCTGGTGCCACCATGCGCTCTGGGCTGGTTGTGGGCGCACAGGGCCTCCCTCTGCGCCTCAGGTAGAGCCCAGGGCGCCGAAGTCCAGCTCACGAAGAGCCCCTGACCCCACCCCACCCTGCAGCCCTGTCACCTCTGTGCACGGCAGCGGGGTCTCGGTGTCCCTCCCCCAGGCCCCTTCCCCAGGCCCTGGTCCCAGGCCCTGCCCCTCCCCCCAGCTTGCCTTTCCTGTAGCTCCCTGCCCTGCTTCCCTATTAGGCCTGCCAAGCTCAGGGTGACTCTGGCCTCCTGCCAGCCTCGGCCCCACAGCTCAGCAGACCTGGGGCGGGACACCCCGCAGTGCCCCCACATGGGCAAACCCCACCCGGCCTGCTGTGCCCTCTTGCTGGCCTGGCACCAGTCCCAGGGCCAGCACCCGGAAGTTTGCAGGCTCTCTGGGGCTGGGGCTCAGCTGGACCCCTCCTCCTCCTCTGCCCCAGCCCTGCTTAGCACAGATTCGGTCAAAGCCACCCTGGCATGGGCTCTGCCCTCCTGGCTAGCTTTATTCCCTTATATGGAACTATTTAGACTTTTTGGCTTTTTTTTTTTTTTTTTTTTTGAGACAGGGTCTCACTATGTAGCCCAGGCTGGCCTCAAATTCTTGGTGATCCTCCTGCCTCAGCCTCCCAAGTGCTGGGATGACATGCGTGCACTACCACATCAGGCAGAGTGCCTCTCTTTGGCACAGGGGCTTTACCTCCTGGGGGCTGAGAACTTTCCCAGGTCCCCCAATCTTAGCTCACCCACCCAGGCTCTTCACGGAAACCTGTACCCCACCAGCTCTGTGGAGGAGATGGAGCCGGCCTGGACCTGTATTCCCTGCCCTGAAGCCCCTGGACAGGCAGGTCTGAAAAACATCTCCAGCGCTGGTGGGCGGCGAGAGATGTACATATCAAGTGGAAAGAACTCTGGGCAAACATTTTCCACCAGACAGTGCTGTAAATGGGAGAAGCAAAGTTTTATAAAAGCTAAAATAGACGGGTGCAGTGGCACCAGTCTGTAATCCCAGCAGTAAGGGAGGATGAGGCAGGAGGGTCACAAGTTCAAGTCCTCCTTGAAAGAGACCCTGCCTCAAAATAAAGAAGAGATGGGGACGGAACTCGGGGAAAACCTGGATTCAATCCCCGGTACTGATGGAGCCGCAGCCAGACCCACAGCCAGAGCGCGCAAATAAACAGGGCGGGTGGGCACAGGTCCGCAATCCCAGCACTCTAGGAGGCTGAAGCAGGACTCCAAGTTCCAGCCCAGCCTGTGTGGAAATCTGGTCTTCCTTTTCTTTCCATTCTCTTCCCTGGGGAGAGGAAAGGGAACAGAGCACAAAGGGGCCCTGCAAGCCAGAGATCCCAAGGGGGGTGGTGCTGAGATTCCTGGCCGTGTTTATGGTTATGATGCAAAAACTGCACTTGTGTCCGGCAGGAGGAACCGGGAGAGGAGCAAAGCAGGCAACGGAGGGCGTGGCGCACGCCTGTACACCCGGCACTCTGGGAGGCTGAGGCATGAGGATCGCAAATTGTAGCCCAGCCTGCCCAATCTAAAGACTTAGCAAGACCCTGTCTCAAAATAAAGGGGTGCGGACGGAACTGAGTACAAGCCCTGGGGTCACTCCTCGGTGTTAAACAAAACACAGGCAACAAGTGGGCGCGTCAGCTCCCCCCATCCGCTCCTGGCCGCCGCCCCCGCAGGTATGCGGGTGATTCACTGCCGGACCGTGGGGTGACATCCCGCCCCCGCGCTCCCGATGCTCGGCCTCCCCGGCCCCACCCGCCCCGGAGGCCACGTTGTTCCCTGGGCCCGCGCAGGGAGAGGCGCAGTGGCCGGGGGCGGATGGGGGGCGTGGGGCGCTGCGGGGCGTCGGCCCCCGCCCGCGTGCGTGCCTGAGCCCTGAATCACCCGCTATATCGGGCGGGCGGGCGGGTGCCCGCGAGGCCCCGGGTCGGCCGGCCGCAGTGTCCGCTTACAGGGTCCCGCGGCCAGGGTCCCCGCGCCCCGGCCGGCGCGCTCACCTGGTAGATCATGACTTTGAAGTTGCGGCGCCGCAGCAGCTCGGCCTCGTTGGCCTCCAGCTTCTTGATCTGCGCCGCCTGGCGCTCCAGGCTGCCGCGCACCGTCTTGACGTTCACGCTGACCTTGCGCACCTTGTCCAGCAGCTTCCCCACCGTGCCGCTGGTGGCGGCGTGCGCGCGGCCCAGCTTGGCCAGCTCCGCCTGGATGCTCTGCACCGCGCCCTCCATCTCCGCCTGCCGCTCCTCCAGCTGCGCCTGGGTCAGCTGGATCTGGTCCACGGCGCCGATGATCTTGTCCAGCAGGCTGAGCACCAGCACGCCGTTCACCTGGTCCGCCTTGATCAGCTCCTCCGCGCCGGCCCCAGACGGCTCCTCGGCGGCCGGGGCGCCCCCGGCGGGGGGCTCAGAGGCCTCGGCCGCGTCCGGGTACCCCGCGAAAGGGCGCTCCACGATGTGCAGCGTGACGTCCTCCATGGCTGTCCGGGGCCGACCGGGGGCAGCGGGCGACGCGGAGCCGGCGAAGACGGCGCGGAGCGGGGGCGCGGGGAGCCGGGCGCGCAGGAAACGCGAGCCACGTCCGTGCGCCCCGGGACGGCGGCCAGCACTGCCCGCGCCGGAGACCGCTCTGTGCCCGTAGGATGGCCCCGCCCAGGGAAGGCGGGACCTCGCCACCCAGTGCCGCGCCCATTGGCTGATCCTGCCCGCGGGGCCTCAGCGCCACGCCCATTGGCTGGCCCGCCCCAGGGGAGGGCCCGACCTCGCCCCGCCCCCGGATGGTTGGGATGCTTGCTGCGCTCCGGGCCCGGCGGGGGCGCAGGAATGCGGGCGGGGAGGGCGGCGCCGAGCCCTCCGCGCTGTGCCCGCGCGGGTGTGGGGCTTTGCGCCAGCGCGGAGTCGGGTGGACCGCGAGGCCCAGAGGTTCCCGCCAGGTCCAGTGTTGGGGCTGCCAGTGCCGGGGTCCCTGCAGGGCTACAGTCACAGAAGCGGCCCGATCCCGACCCCGCTCGGTCTCCAGCCACTGCCCTCGAACCCGGGGTGCCGGGGGTAAAGACCCGCAGTGCTCGTGGAAAGAAGCTGCACGCGCCTCCAGGGTCCCCTCGGGAGGGTCGTCCCGAGAGAAGGATCGAGATGAGCAATGCCACCTTCCTTGTGTCCCCTGCCCCAGAAGTCGGGCGGCACGGGCCTTGGCGCGTCCTTCTGTCTCTGGGTCCTGGAGACCTGAGGGCTAGCAATCTGGGGGACCGCGGAACCCCGGGGGAAAGAGATGAAGGGAGACAGATGACGCGTCGGGGTCACCCCCACGACCTTTCACCGGCACAGGGAGGGGCACCTGCGTCTCTGGGCCTGCTGGTTCCAAGAGACCCCCTCCATCTGGCCCTGAGCCCCGCGGGCGCCCTGCGTCCTGCAGCGCCGCCTCCTCTCCCCAGAAACGCTGCGCACTTTTCCCTACTTGGGAAACCGCGCTGGGTCCCAGGGGGCAAGGATGGGCCCAGCCAGAGGTCACTCCGGGCTGGCACCCACCCACTGTGGCTAGGAGGAGGGGCGGCGGCTGCGTGGCACGGAAAACCGTGGCCCAGGAAGAGCTGGAATGCAACTCGGAGAGCGCTTTAAGGACACTGACTCGGGAGGCTGAGGCAGGAGGATCACTGCGAGTTCCAGGCCAGCCTGGGCTACATAGCGAAACCCCTCTCAAAAAGACCAAAAAAAAAAAAAGAGGACACTGAGCCCAGCACCTTCCCCCACACTGAGTCCTCCAAAACAGATGTTTTTCTCATTTGGAGTTCAAGGAGAGTGAACTTATAAACACACACACACACACACACACACATACACACACAAAACATATTGTATTTTCATACAGTGGCTGGAACTGGCACATTACCAACACAGCTAAGAGTCTAAGAGAAATTGCTGGATGTTGGGCTCAGGCCTGTAATCCCAGCAACTCTGGGAGGCTGAGGCAGGAAAACTGCAAGTTTGAAGCCAGTCTGGGAAATTTAGCGACTCAGAAGATCACGTCTCCAAATGAAAAATAAAGATGGGGTTAGGATGTAGCTCCATGTGAAGGCCCTGGCCTTGATCCTCAGTACCACCAAAGAAAAATTTATAAGATAAATGTGTTAGAGAGATTTTAGCTCCTTCTGTTAAGGACTTAGAGAGCTTTGACAAATAGAGACAGTAGAAGATCTTCCTGGGCATTCATAATGTTTCTGCATTAAAAATTCATGTGGTTAGCAGGTGACATGCCATGTGCAGATAGCAAAGAATACACAAAGGAATACAGTGGAAAAAAGTGTTACTTCCCACCTTCCTGGGACATAATTTCTAAGATTCCCTTGTTAAATCTTCTGTAGAAAATTCCCGCCCTATGAATTTCAGCATGGCTTTCTTATCTTAGAGATTGCTCTATATCAGCACATGTACAACTCCCAGTATTTTTTTTTTTTTTCCTGAGACAGCATCTCACTTTGTAGCCCAGGCTGGCCTTGAACTCACTATGTAGCCCAGGCCGGCCTCAATCCAGCAGCGATCCTCCTGCCTCAGCTGCCCCAGCGCTAGGATTACAGGCATGTGACACTATGCTTGGTTTAGAACTACACGTATTAAACAATTCCCAGCTAAGGAACATTTGCAGATTACGTTGTTTTTGAAGCTGGTGGTGGAGCAGGACCCGCAGAGCGCTGAGCCCCACGCCCTGACTTGCGCTGCAGTCGGGCCCACCGGGGCAGGGCTGCAGGGACGCGCTGACCCCTGGGTTCCTGTGTGTTCCTGGCTCCAGGCGTGCAGAAGCGGACGGAGTCCACGCCTTGCTGGCTTTCCGCCGGGAAAGTACTTCTGCCCCAGCTCTTCAGAAAGGAATGTCAGCGACTGTGAGTGAGCCAGGTCCTGTCCAGGGACAGCCCGGCCACAGCGAGCGACTCACTCGCTCCCTTGGCAGAGTTGCCCCGGCGGCGGGGAGGAATCCGAGCCCTGAGCTCCCCTGCCCCAGTCCCAGCCGCGGCCGGCAGGGGGCGCACCGAGCCCCGCGCTGGGTGAAAACTGGCCGCTGCGCTGGGCCAGCCCCCAACCCAGGACTGGGACAGCAAGCGGGCAGGGAGGGGAGGGCGACAGCTCTGGGACCCAGCACACAAACCAAAAGAGACACCGGGCTGCCGGCCCTCCGCTGACAGAATCCTTTGTTTGTTTCAGACAGGGTTACTAGGTAGCCTGGGCTGGCCTTGATCTCATAGCCACTGATTTTTCTGACTCAGCCTCCTGAGTAGCTGGGATGACAGGTGTGCACCACCGCGCCTGACCCACTCTTCTTTGTTTTTGTTTTTTGCCTTTTTGAGACAGGGTCTCTCTATGCAGTTCAGGCTGGCCTTGAGCTCACTCTGTAGCCCCGGCTGGCCTCGAACTCGAGACAGTCCTCCTGCCTCAGCCTCCCGAGTGCTGGGATTACAGGCATGCACCACCATACCCAGCTGACCCCCTCTTCTTTAGACAGTATTATAAGGTACAACTTTCCTAAACCAGAAAATTGTTTATCAAGGGCTAACTTTTGCGTGACTTGGTAGCAGGAGCAGAGGACCTGCCGCCATACTTGCTGTGGACATCACTGACTTCAGGGCAGCACCGATTTAAACCCGGGCATAGAAATCATCGAGAAGAGAAGTCAGCATAAGTGCTGCTTGCCAGGCTCTCTGTGCACTCATTGCTTGTATCCTAAAAACAAAAACTCCAATCTGTGTGTGTGTGTGTGTGTGTGTGTGTGTGTGCACACGCGCGCGCAGACACTACTGGGGGTTAGACTCAGGGCCTTCGCACTGGGTGACATCTCCAGCCTCTTCTTTGTTCTACTTTTATTTTGAGCCAGGGTCTCACTAAGTTGCTGAGACTAGGCTCAAACTTGTGACCTTCCTGCCTCAGCCTCCGAATGCTAGGACAATAGATGTGCAGCACCACGCCTAGCTGACTTCTACAACCCCTGCAGCAGGTCCCTGAGCAGCAATTCAGTCCTTAAATCTATACTGTTTGTCCAAAATGTGGCTTTGTCCTGCCCACAGAGGAAGCCACAAAGAGTCAGGTACAACAGCACACACCTACAGGCCCAGCTGCTTGGGAGGCTGAGGCAGAAGCATCACACATTTGAGGCCAGCCCTCAAACTTAATAAGAGTATCTCAAAAGAGAGCAAAACCAAAACCAAAAGAATCAGTAAGAGACTCCATACTCCCCTGTCTCCTTTCTAACTTTATCTGGATGCTGCACCACGTGACACAGCTACAGTTTGTCCTTGGCACGGGAACACCATAAGCTTTTTTGTTTCTTATCTCTCTCTCTCTCTTTTTTTTTTTTTCTGGTACCGGGAATCAAACTCATGACCTTGTGCTTGCCAGGCAAGTGCTGTGCCACTGAGCTAAATCCCCAGCCCCTTTTTTTTTTCTTTTTGAGACAGGGTCCCACTATGCAGTTCAGGCTGGCCTTGAACTCACTTTATAGCCCAGACTGGCCTCAAACTCACAAACGATCCTCCTGCCTCAGCCTCCTGTGTGCTGGGATTACAGGTGTGCATCACCATGCCCAGCAAGTGTGTTTTTTTTTACAGTGAGCCCCAGAGGAGCTATCCAAGTATGCCTCTGACTTAATTTTGTGTGCAAGAGTATTTATAGGTATAGCTGGTTTTTAAAATTTTTATGGAGCTAGTTAGACGCTGCTTTATAGAATTGCATTTGGTTTAGTTTTGCTGTAAATGCAGGCCCACTGTTGCTGCAGTGATGACAGGCAGCCATATATTTCTGTATTTTTAACTGGGGGAGGTCGGGGCCGGTGACACAGATGCTGCAGCCTGAGCTGGCTGCGGGGGTGCGGGAGCCAGCGCTACGGCTTGAGCTTGCAGAACGTCAGGTGGGGGCAGGGCTAGCTCTGATTAACCTGAAGTTTCTGGGAGTTCCGGGTAAAGTGTCTCTGGCTGGGGCCGATGTTTCAGTTAATCGCGCCTGCAGAGGGGGCTTGGGAGCGCAGGGTTAGCATTGTCGGTGGCAGGTTTCCAAACAGCAGCAGCAAGCAGTAGAGGAGGGCTTTGGCCAAAGTAATTTGGTTCAAGGTGACCACAGCACATTTAGCGGGTCAGATCCCGTTCCTGACAGAGCTACTTTTACCCATGCACAAGGTGTATTGGGAATGTGTCAGGGGGTTTATTCCACAGTTATTCGGGAGGTCCAGTACAGTATGTGGCACCTCAACAGTTAGGTTTCGGCCTAAGGTGAGCTTGTCAGCTTTTCTGATTAGAAAGACAGTGGCTAAAGCCGGGCGTGGTGGTGCACACCTGTAATCCCAGCACTCAGGAGGCTGAGGCAGGAGGATCACTGGGAGTTCAAGACCAGCTTGGGCTACAGAGTGAGCTCAAGGCCAGCCTGAACTGCATAGTGAGACCCTGTCTCAGAAAGAAAAAAAAGAGAGAGAGAGAGAGAGAAAGACAGTAGCTAACAGAGCATGCAGGCAAAGCGGGGAGGCAGCCCTGAGTGACTGGATCCGAGTATTTTTACGGGTGGCCACCAGGTGCTTCCAGGGGCTGATAGTTTATATACGCAGTATTGTTTTTCTGAATTTAAGGATTCAGGCTGGGGATATAGCTC